TTATTTTGGATAGCCATCAAAATTTCATTGTATATATTAATCATTTTATCAAACTAAAAAATATAGACAATGTTTTGAATTTTTGAAATCTTCTTAATTGTGTGAGTGTTACAAGTTTTTTGGGCAATATGAGTAATCAGGCTCGACCGATGGCAAGTGGAATAATAAAATTCTATAAAATAGTATATTTGTAATTTCAGCAATAATAGGTGTAAAGGAAATATACCAATTTAATTTTTAAACGTAAATAATACAAAAGTTTATCACTGTGTATAAGATATATTTTTATTGCAGATATTGTTTTTTAAATTTACGTTGATATATCTTTATTTATTATTAATTTTCATTTATAAAATTTATAATCCAGTAAGTAAGAATAAATACAATAATGACGATTTTGTCTGAATGTAATGGTCGAAATATTTTTCTAAATCCGTGTCTTTTGTGATGATTGTTTGTCGTTTATTCTTCAGTGTGGAAGCGGGGTGAGGAGATAGTTATGATACGATCTGCTTTTTATACATACTTTTGTATTTACATCGTGTAATAGTGTGCTTATCTTCGTGTTGTTATCTCTTGAGGTTTTTTGCTTGGCGTGTTGACTTAATACATCGTTTGAAGGATACTCTACGAAAATAGTATAATAAATGCCAATACAAATATTAGGACAAACAAGAATAAAATGAAAATATAGGAAAACGTATTAATTAATAAACTGATTATTTATTGATAGTGATTAGTTAATTTTGCTGTCCTTAAGTAGGTAATTTCTTACATAAATGGGTATTTATTGTGAAGTTATTTTTTTATAAATATTTCGTCTCTTTTTTTTTTAATACAGAAATATATAAAATTACTCGTGCGCCTGTCAACATGTCAGAGCTGATTTTCTCAAAATTAATTTCTTTTATTTCATATCGCGTATTTAATTGAGCAGGCCTACGGAGAATTTAAAAACATTTTCAATTTATAGCTCTCTAGTTTTATCTGTATTTTTTAAGAGAATTTCAAAAAAATGCATAATTGAAAATATAGAAAAGAGTTTCTGTGTCTTTGTGTTACATTTCAAAAAAATTGACTAAAACAACCCAAACTATTTAATGCTGTTTTCTAACGAATATTTTGCGTATATGGGTATTTTAAAAATTAATTGTAGAGAAACTGAAATGTGTTTTGTTAAATTGCTTCAATCGAGAGTTATCATCCGATTCTAGTAAATGAACTAAAATGCACACGTTAACATCTAGAAATTTTAGGAAATTAATGATAGTCTATCTATAAAATGTAGGCTTTTTAATAATTCTTGCATATGCATGTTGAAATGTGCGTTATCCTTCTGCTGATCCATGATCTATTTATTCATAACAGT